TTTCTAAGAAAAACGTGTTATCTCTTTTTCCTATACTTTAAAAGTTTTCCTCAAACTGAAGGGGAAAAAAAGCCTGCCATCTCCAAAGCAATAATGCTTCCAAAAACTAAAATTATCTGTTTAGAAAAAAATTATTTTGGCTAGCACACTTAAACAAGCAGAAAACATGCACATTTTTCATCACAAAAAAAAAATATAAATAAATCCATAACCTGGGCTTGCCTTAGGGATCTGGATTTCTGCACTACTACATGTCTATTTGATTTGAGTCAACAGTCCCAATGTGTCAATGTTATGTCAATTCAAAATCAACTCTTATTATTATTTTATAGGCAAACATAGGACTAAAAGACATAGCAGATAAAGCATGCAAAGAATTGACATCTGTACACTTGGTCTGTGTGAAAAATTTATAGTAGAGGAAGTTGGAAATCAGAGTTTCCTAGCAATTTGTGCATGCTGTTGGGAACTTGGAAATTTGGTTTTAGTCTTAGCACTGATACAAGCATTGAGTCAAACAGAATTCTCGCTGGCATACAGGGTCGGAGAATTGGACAGTAACTTCATGTTCTGTGGAAATAACTCACAGGCACATTCTGACATTCCAAAACACATTCAATTTGCCCTTTAAAACTTTTGCTGAAGTCAGATACAGAGTTTAAATTTCAAGGAGAACTGGCTATGTAAAACGTTGTCTACCACCACAAAGCTCATGTCAGATTATGACCTGGGGGATGCTGCTACATTACAAAAACAAAAGTAATCATACTCAGTGCTGACAGTGGGTGATGGAACCTGGCCCTTCATTTATATGCCTTAATTTCTACAAAAATGGGGACAACAATTTTTACCTAGTTTATAATGGGTGAGGATTAAATAATAGACATTACATACAGTGTTTTGCAAATGAATATTATATAAGTGCTAAGTATTATGATATTAACCAAAATGTCACTACATCTATATGACCCTACAAAGCAAAAAAACTTTCAGTAAATTTTTTTTCACATATTCCCAAGTCAATAAAAATGAGCCATGGAGTTAGCTGGCTATTTTGGTACAGATGAATGAAGTATTTTAACTTATTTGACAGTTAAAAAAAAAAAAAAACAGAACCTATTCTTAATCTATTCTTTCCATTATAAAGGTGCCCCTTTAAGGCATGATGCCTTTTTTATAGTCTCGCGTATAAACATCATTATTCATTTGGTATTCATTCAAGTTATTTTTCAAATACCATACAAATCTTCTGAGAAAGATTCTTTAGCAATCCACATATGCTAAATGGAGGCCTCCTCCAAGGAAATTTTGCTCAGTGGCTGTTGTTTTGATGATCTTGGAAATCTCACACTTCTCAAATCAAAGATTACACAAAGATCAGGCTTGATGATGATGGACAGTAAATGCGGCTTGGCATGCCTGAGGATTTCAAACAATTATGGTATTTTAAACTTCAATAAGCACCTCAGGACCATGACTGTTTTCTTCAACCTCCAACCTACTTTAGAAAACAATTAAAACAAAAACAAACAAATAAACAAAAAGAGACCACACATTAACAGAGATGGAGTAGATGCTTTGGTCCAAATCCCAACTTGTATGGATCACTGGAGTGCCACATGATGAATGGAGCCACACTTAAAGAAAAGTACAGTCCAATACATGGTAGGCCAGGTAGGATGCCTCATTTCTTCCCACTGATGTAAAGATGACAAGGAGAGGAGGTCACCTGTGCGTATCATCCAAAACAAGGCAAAGCTTTTACACCACCACTAATGCAATCGGTCCATTCATGAAAGCAAAGCAGAACCACTTTTGGCATCAGCCCCTACACAGTGCTTTTCATTTCCTTTCATGCTAAATGAAAAGCAAGAGCAGCATGAATCACCTTGGTAGATTCCCAGCAGCACCCTGCCCCTCTCCCCAGGCTGAGCTGTGGTACCTCCTTCAAAGTATCCTATGTTGATAAATCTTGCCACCTTCTTCCCTTCTGTGGTAGAGAGCAGGACTGTCCTTGAGACATCCATTGAAAACACTCAGAAAAAAGTTAAAGTATTTCATTCTGGAAAGATGTATGCTACACTACCAGCCTTGTTTCATCTTAGCAGGGAATTTTATTTATGTTGCCACTGTGTTTCAAATACCATAAAGAAGAAAATTTCTGAGAGAAATGTACAGGCATTTTTTGCTCTTTTTATATCTAGTAAAATAACAAAGGCAGAAAGTTATTCCTTCCCATACAATGTGGATGCTGTATGTGTAATCTGTAACACTGTGAGATTGGTAGCACTTCTCAGCATCTCACTTGGATGTCTGAGAAAATTCACATCCCAACCCTGTAACTTCAACAATTTCACTCTATGGAATTATTTGAGGGTAAAAATCACTCCTCCCTGAAAGTCCTGCATTATTTTACAGGACTGCAAAATAATCATGTAAGCCTCTCTCAAATCCTCAAAAGAGGATTTGAAAGGCTAACAGATTAGAGGTACAGATAACAAGCAGCCCCCACTCAGTCGATAGCTCTATGCCTTTGGTCTTCAACACCATGTATCTAATTCTCCTTCGATGGATGTGGGTGTCTAGGAAAACAAGTTACTTACTTTAGCCTAAACCATCTTTTTACTAATGTTTATTATTTTTCAGATCAGCATTTTAGAAGTGCTAGAACCACACCAAATATTTCTTATTCTAGCTAGAATTTCAGATATCATCATGAATAACATTTTACTTTCCAGACAATGTTTTGTTTCATTAAGAAATTGTTAGTTGCCTGAGATTTGCTCTGTATTTCTCAGGAACAAGTAATGCTACTTACACATTTTGGCCTTGCTTTAAAAAGGTACTAGACTTTCACAGAGAGGTAAAAAAGGTAGGCAACTTTTATCAGCCCCAGCAAATCCAAGACATTAACTACTTCTCACATAATAAATAGAAGGGAAATGGCGCAATTTTGACATTCCAGACAATTTTTTTGCTAGAAAATATCAAAATTTGAAGGAGAAAAAAACGTGACAAAAACAAGAAAAGTCTCTAAAAATTATCCTAAGCATGAATTTTTGTCCTACAGTAATATTTTGATTTGATAAATATCAGCAAAAGCCAAAAGTAGTAATGGATTGCTAAATGAGACATAAAAAGCAGGCCTAATAACGGTGCTATTCAGAGGATAACCTTCCATCAACACAGACCTTGGTAGTGAAGGCAACAAATAACTATCTTGTTAGATGAAGACAAGACCACTATTTGTACCTTCCTCTCTCCTCCTCAGAATTTTTTTTTTTTTAAATCCAAACCTAATTAGAAGAGAATAACAGAAAAAAAGTAAAACTGGAGAGGAGGATCAGTAAACCCAGACACTTTGGTAATACAATTTAAAGGATTTCCCTGTTCTCTATCCTTGCTGAATTTGTCGTCGTTTCTTTGCTTAAGCATTAACTTAATACTTGGTGTCCAAATCACAGGCAAAAATTAAAATGGCCAAATATTGAACTTGTCCTCTTCCACAGAACACTTCTATGGATTATTTTAACTTGTTTGGGTTTGTTGTTGTTTTGCTTTTTTACCTAAAACCATGTGAAAGTGTCTTACAGATTTTTCAGCTTGCTTCCGAGAAATATGGCACATTAAGTTGACTAGAAATCATAGTATCTACGTTTTCCCACACATATAGTTTTATCCATTCCTAGAAGACTCGGACTGTCATTTTGGCAAGGAGCTGCAATGCACCAGTCTGAGCATAAAGGATTTAAGTTATGGATCTTGCAGAATTGGTTGATAATGGAATAAGTACGGCTCTTTTTTTTAATCTATAATATTTACAGTATTGCACTTTACTGCACTTAATTGCATTTCACTAAAATTAATGCTGCATCAGTATTATGCCTTAAAACCATATGTCCATCTTTGTTTTGTCATTCTTTCTACATCCTGTAAAACGGTGAGATTCTGATTCAAAGATCTAGGCATTTGGGGGGAAAAATGAAAAACTGACCTGTTTCTGTGGCACAATACATCTCTTTGAGTTCACACAATTCTGGCAAACAGGTGCATTTCTTATTGTTCCCATCTTTCAAGTTATCACTAACAATTAGTAAATTCTATTCTCTCTTTTTTTCTCTTTTCAAAAGACGTAGCCATTTGAGACACACACTTTTTTGTTATTGCTGCTCTTTTTTTTTTTTTAAGGAAAGAAAAGAAGGAAAATAAAAATCTGCCTTGCCTCAGATCTGAAATTCCACATTTAAATTCAAACCAGTTCTGCAGCAGCAGCAGCTCCTCAGTGATGGAAGAGATTCATGGCAGTGAAATAATACTGTTGGCAACAAAGAAATGTCATCTTTAATGGAGACCAGCCCCAAGGATTTATTATTTATTATTATTACTATTTGTTTTGTTTAGTTTTGTTCTAATATATTTCTGATCTTCAAAACGTGTTTAGTTTGACACATGCACAAGGTAGCAAAACTGACAGCAGCAGATGACGTTATGCCGGAGCGATCACTTTTGCCAGGGTCAAAAATCCAAAGTGTCCCCAATGTTCACAGATTAACATAATTTAGAGATCGTTTCCTTTTTTTTTTTTTTTCTCATTTTATATTTTTTTTTTAACTCTCTTTTCTCTCTCCTCCCACCTACTTTGTCCTCCGAGGAGTCTCTGGCGGGCGGGTGCGTGTTTGCTGCTCGCGTGTGTTGTGTCCGGGGGCCCGCGGCGGGCGGAGCGTCCCCGCCGCGCCACGCGGCACCTCCCGGCCGCCGAGTCCCTGGGGCCGAGCGGGCGACCTCGGGGAAGGGGAAAGAAACAAAAACAAAACAAAACAAACAAAAAAAAAATTTAAAAAGAGATAAGGCGGCAGGGCGGCCGGAGCGCTCGCTGCGCGCCCTGCAGCCAGGGAGGAGGAGGATGAGGAGGAGCGGAGGGGCAGAGCGGCGGTCCGTGCGGGTCACACGCCCGCCCGCCGCGGGCACCCGGGGCGGGGTGTGATGGGGGGCTCGGGGAAGCGTGTCAGAGCCCCAGGGCCTCGGCGTGCTTGCGGGCCTTCAGCCGCAGGTCGGCGATGCTGGAGTTCTTGCTGTTGCTCTTGGCGGCGGCGGCCACCACGGCGGCGGCGGAGGCGGACTCGGCCAGGGAGGCGATGGGCAGCCCGAAGGGCGGCGGAGGGAACATCAGGTAGGGCGCGTGGGCCGCCAGGTGCGGGTGCAGGTGCGGGTGCGCGTGGGCCACGCCCTCCAGCTGCAGCTGCGCCTGGACCTGGCGGCGGGGCAGAGACACGGCGTCAGCCCCGAGCCCGCGGCGAGGCACACGCAGCCCCCAGCCCGCCCCGGCCACGCGTCCCCAGCCCCGACCCTGCCCGGGAGCCCGGCCGATGAAAAGACCAACAACTTTTGAGAGGAGCGACCGCCGCAGTCACGGCGGCAAACCTCCGCTCTTTGCTCCACCAAGGGCACAGAGACACGCTTAACCCTCCTCCTGATGGCTTCAAATAAATAAATAAATAAATAAATAAATAAATAAATAAATAAATAAATAAATAAATAAATGCGACCCAACGCACGGGAGCCAACAAGTGCTACATAGCTTTTTTTTTTTCCCCCCTTTTTTTATTTATACCTTGCTAAAAACTCTTTGGCCGTGGGTCCCTTTCTATACCCGGCTAGTGTTTGCTTTGGAGCTTTCTAGACCTACACAAACACATTGGGTTGACTGAGAGATTTCAGCTTCGGGTAGGTTCGGGGAGGAGTGGGGAGAGTTTATTTATGTATTTAATTATTTTGGTCCAAATATGTCTTTTAAAAAATCAATACAATTAATCTGTCAGCTCCACGTGTCTCCGAGACGGAGAAGGTGGTAGAGGATCCCTTTGGGCTGGAAAAAATCAATTCCCCGATTAATTGACCAAAAAAAAAAAAAAAAAAAAAAA